TGTTTTGTTTTTTAACCATATCATAACTTGTCGTCTCCAAAATAATTTAAATTGGGAGTCATCAGTTTATATTGTGGTGTCTACTTAGTAACATTTGGATCTACACTGTACAAGTTATTACTGAATAACAGTTATTAATGTGACAAGTGGTTAAATGTAAGGATTATATGTTCTGGGCCAACATATGAGCCCTTAGGATTTAAAGGGTTACAGTTTTGTCTGGAGGACAAATAAATCAAAAGAGAAAATGATTGCTTTCATATCTGTATTTACCTTATTGAACACTTCTTCATCATTCCTGGTAATCAGCTCTAAGGAGGAAAAAAAAAAACATTCGCTTCCAGCTGTGAGAATCATATCTGTTGACATTTATGACTAGCTTGGCCACGAATTCCAGGCCCTGGCACTCCTACTTTCTTACTAACTTCAGCCTCTGAACGTGATCTATTCTTATTCACTGTCTTCTTATCAGTGATGGTGAAAGAGAAGGATTGTGTTGATTGTCCTTGGAAATTCACAAATGTCTCCATAGCGATATGGAAGGACAATGGGCGAAACTACGTGATACAATGATGAAATTTCTGGAATGTAAGTTGGCAGAACATTCTGCCATGAAACGGCGTCAACACTGGGATCCGCAGATATGCACGGCTCCTCAGCTGGGTTCAAGCTGGAGCTCGTCACTATGAATTACTGTCCACCATCTTGAAGCCATCATTTTGGTAATAACATTTGAATTTTTGATAGAGGTTCAGCAAAACCTTGGTCGACACATTGTCAGTCTTTAAAGATCTAACTACAGCAGAGCCAAACCTTTAGTAACTTTAAAGGGCCCCTATCCTACACTTCTGCTTTTTATTTCCTCTCATGTCCGTTTATGACATTTTGTGTTTTTGTGCACCAAAAAATAATCATAATACATTTTTATCTGACTGTTTTCCAACATCTCTAAATCCCTTAGAATCAAGCAGGCTGTTTTCGTAACTCTGACGCAGGGGTCAGCAACATGCAGCTCTTTAACTGCCCTGTTGCGGCTCCACAGCAGAATTAGATTTGTAGGTAAAAATAAAATAATCCTCCTTTGCAGTAAAATAAAGCTCTGCTGATCATTCAACACAGTTTTAACAATAAATGGTCCTAAACACTGCAGTTAATGTAGCCTAAAGCTGCTAATTCACCCTTTAACCCTGAAAGTTGGTATGCAGACTGCTGGTCACCATAGCAACGCAGACAACTGTCTCACCTAGCTAGTAGCTAACAAAACAGCAAAGAGAAAGACTTACAATGAACATCAATGATTGAGTCATATTGACTTAATGCATTTATAATCACTCCAGCTGGTTTCCTGATACTTTAATCTGCAACGAGAAACTGTCAAACACTAAAGTCACACAGCTGTAGTCAGTTTCTCATTCGCCAGCTTCTTGTTCGAATAGTCCCGTTCCTCCTTAAATGGTACCGCAGTTATATACTGGGGCCTCAGACACCATTTAAGGTGGAATGAGAAAATTTGAACAAGAAGCTGGCGAATGAGATCAACTTCAGCCTCGTAAGAAGTCAAACATTGAGAGAGATTTTTACAAGAAACTGTGAGTCAAAGTTTCCACATCCTGGGGGCATAAAATGAGTTTTAGGTTTTATTTTTTTCCAGTATGTTAATTTCAGCAAATAAATAGAAATTGTGCTTAATGTCACAAAAAACAGCTGAGTTGTTTTTTTTGTGACATCACAAAAACACTAAATTCAAAGCGATTTGTTTTTTCAGCTTAGTTTCCATAGAGGAGCTCTATGGTCCAGAGAGTGAATTTAACAAAATGTATTTATTGATTTTTCTTTCCTAAAAGGCGGGGAAAATGTGTTTTTCATGATATGAGCCCTTTAACTATTTCTCATCTAGCCAGCAGGAAACCTGGACACTATACTAGATATACACACTTAAAAGTTGTTTCTTCGTATATGTATATATATGTTTGTATGTCTGTGTGTGTAGGTATATACATGTGTGTGTATAAATATATATATATATATATATATAATATAGTTTTGTGCTATATGGTAAAGGCAGTGGTTCTGTTTAGAGCCATGAGCCATTTTATGCTTAAATGGTTCTTTGCGTGGTGAAATGGTTCTTCAGACTGATGGACAATGTGTTGTAGATGGTTCTATATGCCACCATAAAGAACTCTCCTGGTTTCATGATGTCAAGCTTGTAACAGTAGAAGAACTCTTTCTGGTGCTATAAAGAACCATTTTCAAGTTCAATTTAGAACCACAACACTTTCTCCATCAGTCTGAAAACCATTTGTCCATGCAGAGAACCATTTAATTGTGAAATTGTTCTAAATATAACCTACGCCTTTACTAAAGAAGCCTTGAGGAAGGGTGTAGAATAGTAAGAGCATTTAAATTGAGTCAATAATGACAGCACTTCCTCACTAAATGCCCGACTTAGACACGGAAGATGTTTATACAAGGCCTCATAAAACACAATTAACAGGTTATCATCAATGTTTATATGAGGAGCCCACTGGGTTGGACGTTTCTTTGAATTCGTCTGCTGTTACTGGTAACATTTACAATGAGGTGTATTCATCTGTGGGACTGTAGTTGCCTTCTCACAGTGGAAGGATGGACAGAAACACCTGTGGATTTTTTCAGATCTGAACAACAGTGGAGCTTGATTTTCTCCTCTCTCTCGAAGATGAAAGTTTTAAGTGCTGTTTGTCTTAAGGTGGACAGGTTTGGTGGTCTACCAGGTCTTAAACTGTTGTTAGAAGCCCTATTTCCCTATAACTTTTCATAAATTCAAGAGCTCCAGTTTTTGAAACTCTTGTTTTTTTTCCCATATTTACTTTCAGTGGTACTGAGGTCTGTTCTCTGGTGTGGTCAGTCTGTTGTCCACATGTTTGGGATCATTTTGTGAGAAACAGAAAATGCAACTAACCTCTTATGGTGGTGTGTAAGAATATCCCTTCAGATTTCTTTGAAAAACTGAAAGTCTACTGAAAAGAATGGAAGCTGTGATAGACACTAAATACTGAGAGTGAGTTGATATTTATTGTGTAATTTTGTGTTAAATATGTTTTCTGCTTTTATTTCCTGACACTGAAAAATGAATAACTTTGAATGACTTTTGCACATTTCTGTGAAGATTATGTTCTTAAATTTCCAGGCTTGTTTCATCCTAATTATGTATCATTCAAACCTCCAGAGTGGCTGAGGTATTCTTAGGTTCCCAGAATAAGGAGTGTTTATATAGGAGCGTAAATCTGATCTGTACACCAGAGTTTCCCGACTCAGTTTTGTAGTCCAGCAGCAATGATGTTTCGTGTTCTCCTGCTCCAACACACCTGATCCAACTCAGCGTAATGTTCCTTGTCTTATAACAGGATTCAGATTTATTATAGTCAGAGTTATTATAGTTAACTAAAACTATTACTAAAGTTGCCAGTGAAAAATGTGCACATTAACATTATTAAAAATAAACGTTTTCAAAATTACCAAAACGAAATCAAAACTGTAATATTGAAAGCAAAACTAACTCAAACAGAATTACTGATAAAAAAACTTGTTTGTTGCTTGTTTTTCATCATAATGTTAAAAACTGAAACTGAAACCTTTTTTTTTTTTTTTCCAGAAAATCGGAACACAACTAAAACTATCAATGCATCTTTAAGACTAAGTGAAACTAAACTGAAATAAAAACCAAAATAAAAAATGTCAAAGCAACAAAGTCTGTTTCAGAGGCAGGACTCTACTTAATGTATTTTGCCTCTTAATTTATTTTGCATAAAAATGAAGTCGAAAAGTCGTTGAAAGTTAAAAAGTCAGCTGAACTGAGGATTCCAAGTCAACTTATATATATATATTAAAATATATATATTTATTATATATTTTTTAGATATTTATTTTTTATTTATATATTTATATTTTTTTTTTCTCTCCTCTTGAGCTCCTAGTTTCCCAGTTATGGAGGGCTTTGGCATTGCTGAGGTTTGGACTCACAGCCTCCTAAACTTGAGGTAAATACTTGTTTATGCTTCCATTTTGCATTCTGTGTTTGTTTGTTTGTTTTTCCTTACAGTGAATTAACACATTAAATAATAATTTGATCAGAAGTTTGATAAATGCTAAGGTAAACACACACACACACACACACATCATCTAAACCGCTTATCCTTCTGGGTCGCCGTGGAGTGCTGGAGCCTATCCCAGCTGTTATTGGGCGGAAGGCAGGATACACCCTGGACAGGTCGCCAGTCCATCGCAGGGCTAGGGTAAACATATTACAGCAATGATTAACTATGACTAAAATCTGATATTTAAGCACCTAAATTTGGAGGCGAGGTTATCAGTGATATCATAGGATATTTTTCTGTCGATCATGTTCAGAATAGATTATATAAAAGCAGAAAGGTGCAAAATGAAAAAACAGATCTGTGTATATGGACTGCATAACCACTTACAGCGGGAATCGGCCCTGCTGTGCTGCTGTGTCTGTAAGGCTGCGTGCAGAATCGCCTCTCCAGCACTGAACTGTCCGGATCAGTGATTTCTGTTTCAAAAGAACAGCGCGTGCGTTTGTTTCTGACTGTAAACACGGAAACACGAGCAGAGTGACTGATTAGCTTTCAGTGATGGGAACAAATAAATACAAACAACTTCCTTGAGCTCACTTCTCTTTATCTCGAGATCTGGAGAAATAGATCTAGAGGGATAAACAACGAGAGCGCGCTGAAACGACCTGAAGCCAAGCCACGCCCCCCCCCCTGCGCTATGATTGGCTAGCGTGGCGCAGCGTCTAGCATTAAGGTTGGATTGTTGTGTTCCAGTTGGCTACTATTCCGCCTCCTACAGTTGGGATTGGCTGATCGTGTGCTGCCTTCTTGTTAGTGTCGGGTGCTTGATGAAACTCCTAGCCAATCCTAGCATAGGGGGCGTGGCTCGTCCGAATACAGGCGGGGGGGAAATAAAACCCACCTGCTCTTGCAGCGCGCGCTCAGGCAACACGTCCAAGCGCGCGGAACACATGCTGTGCGAGATCCCAGCACTTCAGCAATAAGTCGGTGGCGTCGTCTTCCGTTCTTACGCTCGTCTTTACGCTCTGAAGACGTTCTCGAGGCTTTACCCACACAAGCGGAGCACCATGTGGTCAGTGCCCCGGCTCGTCTTTTCACTGCTCGTGGTATCAGGTAAGATCTGAGGCTGTTGGAGGGAGCTAAGCTGTTCTTGTCCTCGCAGAGCTTTAAGGTTTCAGGCACCGTGACCAAGCCTGACCGGTTCTCTAGAAGAACGTGGTGGATGGCGATGGGTGATGAGGGGTCAGCATGTGTCCATTCACTCAGCTCCGTGTACTTCTGCACAGTTTGATGGACTAATACATTTACTTTTACACTCAGATGGTTCTTTAGAAAAGGGAATGGTTCTATCTAGAACCATGAGTAGTATATTGAACCATTTAATGATTAAAGGGTTCTGTGGTTCTATATAGCACCAACAAGAGTTCGATGTCAAGCTTGTAACAATAGCAGAACACTTATTGGTGCTATATAGAATCACAGAACCATGAGTAGTTTATAGAACCATTTAATGATTAAATGGTTCTGTGGTTCTATATAGCACCAAAAGGTTCTTCTCTGGTTACGATGTCAAGCTTCTAACAATAGCAGAACACTTATTGGTACTATATTGAATCATAGAACCATGAATAGTATATAGAACCAGTGCCAAAAAGGGTTCTTCTTAGGTTACAATTTCAAGCTTCTGACTATGGAAGCCCTTTTTGGTGCTGTATAGAACCATTTACAAAAAATTGCTGTGTCCAGTACATTCTATCAATCTGAAGAACATTTTCACTATGCAGAGAACCATTTAAGCATGGAATGGTTCTATATAGCATTCATAGTTCCAAATAGAACCAATCCCTTTACTAAAGAACCCTTGAAGAGCCATCTTTTAAAGAGTGTACTCAACTGTAAGTCCTTAGTTTTATTTAGTTTTTAGTCCCTTTCTGGGCCAATTTCATTCTGTTTTTTGTTGGTTCTTTTCTCACTTTGGAGCTCTAGCGTTTTATGTTAGACCTAAAAGAGAAGAACAGACTTCAGTTCCTATGCTGGCAGTTGCTGGATTAACTGAGAAGTTCCACTGCAGTTGAATCTGATACTCTTATTTACTCCTGCTCAACTCAGAAGCAGCTACTTTTACTTCTACTGCATTGTTTCATTGGACTGTTTGAGGATGAGCTTAAGTTGCTCTGCTCAACTTGGACAACAGACCTATTGAAACTGCCTGGCAACATCAAACATCCCACTTGCTGCAATATCCCCCAGTTGGTGAATGATTAAGCCTGATCTGCAGTACGTCAAAAATTTGTTTATTCGCGAGCATCATGGGAGCCTCAGTGAAGGCTGGAAAAGGGAAGTTTTGTGTTTTGAGTCAAGCAAAAGTTTCATTCATCAGAAGTGATTTTGTGCTTCTTTTCTGACTTTGCTTATGTGGTACATGGAGAAAGTAGTGTGCATACATGCAGCATTTACAGAATGTTCATGAAGGTGCCCTGAGGCTTTAGCCTTGTTCAGGGATTCCCATATGGCCCTGAATGTCTCTCCTGCTACTTCGAGGCTTTACTCTGGGGTGAGTCACTGTGCCGCGCTCAAATGCTCACGGACACGCTTGTGTCTGAGTCAGTGCTTTGGGATGATCGTGAATGGCTGTGGATGAAACACTTGGCTACGTTCCTGCAGGTTTAGATTCAGAGAAGTTTCCAAATGGCAGCTGTGACGCAGTAGCCGTGCTGCACGCTTGGAACGATGTTGACAGGAACAATAGAGTCTATATGAGCAACGATAGAACAGAACACTGGTTTACCCCTCCCTTCAGTTCCTCACTTTCAAACAACATTACTTTTTAGCTTCATAGTAGTTACTGAATGATTTGTCTCAAGTTTAATAAGTGAGTAATAAGCAAGAGGCCATTTTTACCATTGTCTCCACATTTTTCGATTTATTCGATTTAAGTGTTCGATTTAAGTTACTGTTTCACTAGTATGTAATGCGTGTTCTGTCCAACTAAGTATGGACCAATCCCATTTTTTCATTCTCAGTACCAACTCCGAGATGTTTACTACTAAGTTCCGAATCAATACCAGTGCTGTATGAAGGCCATAAGTACATAAATATACAGAAGTGGCTAATGTACAGTTCTGCTATACCAGAGGTCGCAGCTCAGACGTTAAGAGGAGCCATTTTGTCCTTTCAACCAACAACAAACCACCTTGGAAGCCACAACATTTTATGTCCATTTTATTGAAGTAACATTTACCATCTTGTCTGTAAATATGTCTCAGTATGTGCTAATGTCCTGGTATAGGCTAAAAAACATAATATAAACACTACTTTAAGCTTCAGCTCAGCTGTAGATGCTTTTGTCACATCTCTGACAGTAAAATGTCTCTCAATTTGGACTTTTTATGAGGCTGAGGTCAGCTTCTCATTCACCAGCTTCTTCTTTGAATTTTCCTGTTCCACTTTAAATGGTGCCTGAGGTGCTAGAATGTATCTGTGGTACCATTTTAAGGTGGAACGGAAAAATTATTTCAGCTTTGTGACTTTTTAGTGTTTGACAGTTTTTTGTTGCAGATTAAACGTATCGGGAAACCAGCTGGAGTGATTGGAAATGCAAATAAGTCCATTCGTCTCCAAATTATCGATGTTCATCTCAAATCTTTCTCTTTGCTGTTTCGTTAGCTACTAGCTAGGTGAGACTGTTATCTGCGTTGCTGTGGTGACCAGCAGTCTGTGCACCAACCTTCAGGGTTAAAGGATGAATTAGCAGATATAAATTAACTCCAGCGTTTAAGATCATTTATTGTTAAAACTGTGTTGAACGATCAGCTTTATTTTACTGTAAAGGAGGATTAGTTTATACCTAAAAATCTAAAAACAGTAAAAGAGCCGCATGTTTCTGACCCCTAACCTATACGGTTGTAAAATGGCTCTTGGCTTGAGGAACCTTTAACAGGGATTGAATAGGGCTGAACAGTTGAACAATTTGAGGAAGTTAAACTTGGCTTTTTTTTTTTTTTGGTCAGTTAGCACATCCATTTTTTTGTACATTTCACAAGCTCTATTGGGTTAAATTTCCCCACTAAAACTTAAGACAATATAAACGATATCGCAAATAATTAAAAATGCAGCTCTTGTGATTTGAAAATTGCACACTTTCATATTTGATATAAAAATGATAATCAACTTTAGTATAGAAGCTTTATATTATGTGGTCTTTCATTAAGCTTTAAAAGATTCTTCACACTCACAAATGTGATTTACAGAACGGTTCTTTAAAGAACTGTTCACTGGAAGTGGTTCTTCTATGGCAAAGAACCTTATTGGGTTTCATTTGGTACCAGTTGATGCTACACCAACATTTAAATTGTAATTTTTTTAAATTGTGTTCTTCTAGGAAGTTTGTGAAATTGCACATATATTACACATTTATTACAACTTCACATTTATTACACTATCAGCTCAGTGCTTCACTAACTCAAACTGTCCTCAGAAGACCCTCATGTCTTTAGTGTTTGGACCAGAGGGCTCAGTCAGAGATTTGATGTGAACTGGAAGATGCTGACAGCCACACAAGCAGGGGCAGTGGCCCAGCCAAGCCTGGGTCTCAGAGCGCTTGGCCGGCCTCAGGGCGTCTCTCTGCATCTAATAAAGTGTGTGCGTGGCAGGCGTAAAACCTTCAGAGCAGGAATAGAAGATTGGCCTTGAGGGTCAAGTCCCCCCTCTGTGTCTGGCGCCACGTCCACTGCTGCTTGCTGCTGCCCACTGGAAGACGTCTCCGAGAGGGGGAGAGAGAGGGAGAGGGAGGGGTGAGAAATGTAGCAGAGGGCAGAGGAGAGTAAAGCTGGGCTAATATCTCTCTGGGGGAGAGATGTACTCAGCAATGGCAGCATATTTGCAGAATCATGCACATTCTTAAAGACCCTGCTGGAACTGCGCAGCCCCCTGACCTAATGCAGATATGATTGTGTGCGTGAGGGGAGGTGTGCGAGGGCTGTGACAGAGCAAGAGTGGTGGAGAGAGGGAGTGATGAGGTGAAAGAAGACAGAAACATGGGAGATTATGTTAAAGAATGTCTCTGCTGTCTTTCATTAGCCTTTATTCACTGAGTGTGTTCTGTACTGCTGATAGAGAGGGTAAGTTTGTGTGAGTGTCTGACCAGAGGATCAGTCGTCAACTCATCCATGAGCGATATAATGGTCCATTTAACCAAGTGACAATTCCATTCAATTTAAAATGTTCTGTGAAACTTACAGATTCAGAATAGTTAATAGTGATGATGACAGAAAACCGAACATATGAAGAGTTTAATGCCTATTAAGCTACTTCACAGACAGTTATTACTTTGGTGAAATGGTGGCAAATAGTCTGTCTGATGCTTTTGACATTTTCTTGTAATAGTTTTGAGAAGGTTTTGGTCAAAAACATATATTTTTAAATCCATTAATGGCAGAGAGGGCTGGAGGTTAGGGAACCAGCCTTGTGACCGGAAGGTTGCCGGTTCGATCCCCTCAGCTGACAGTCCATGACTGAAGTGCCCTTGAGCGAGGCACCTAACCCCCAATTGCTCCCGGGGTGCTGTGGATAGGGCTGCCCACCGCTCCGGGCAAGTGTGCTCACTGCCCCCTGGTGTGTGTGTTCACTAGTGTGCATGTATGTGGGTGTTTCACTGCACGGATGGGTTAAATGCGGAGGTCTAATTCAACAGTGTGCAAACACAGTTGGCTGATGGTTCTGAAATTTTTCAGATATATCACCATTATCAACGTTACGTATTAAAAATGCAGAAGACGTGGAGGTTCACTGGTCCTTTTGGATAGAGTTTTGTTGTAGACATTGATTGACCGCTGGTTCCTATCACCACCACTGTACATTTCTCTACAATGATTCATTTTACATTAACCCCAATTTGAATGTTTATATCTCAGTAATTAAATCATGTTGAAATTTTGAAAAATGAATGGAATTCCACTTTAAGGATAGAAAATTTTATCAGTACCTACAGAGAAACTCGTATGCCAATACAAAGCTTACATATCAGCTCCACAGTTACAGAATAATTCATGGTAGTTATTGAATAATACATCTTAAAAAGCAATAACTTACTAGTGAGCCTGCACTTTAAAGCA